TCAAATAGAAGCGGTGCAAATTGTAGCCCTGGCTTTTTGCATCAGCACACATGCTTGGACATGCACTTTGTTGTGAGGCAATTGTGCCACTAGGGGCAAAATAACCCTGCCTGGCTCCTCCCAGATCTTCAGCCAGGGGGAACTAGAATCCGGGGCCAGCACCTGTGCTGTCCTCAGCAGTATAAAAAGCCACCCTGGCAAGTAGCTCAGAGCTACTAGCTCTCAGGAGCTTCTGAGGCCCAGCCAATTGGTACCTGTGGACACAACCCCTTGTGCCAGCTGGACTGCTGAAGCAGCCCTGAGAGTTCCCTGGACCCTCTACCCACTGCAGCAGTCTGGCAGTGGGGGCAGATGCCTGGCTGTGACCTGCTGCACACCTGCCAGACTTAGATGGGGACTGAAGAGCCAGTAGAGGCATCTACCCCTCTGGGCCAGCTGCCAGTGGACTATGGTTGCAGGGTTGGCCTTTGTGTGGCACTACTGCCATTTGTGCCCCCTGCCTGGCAATCTGGGCAGCTATCACCCAGAAGATGTTCCGGGTGTGGTGGCCTGCTTTGAACTGTTAAAACATGTCCTTCTGGCCCCACTTGGCCAGGAGGTCAGCCACAGCCAGATGGGTACAAGGTGCCAGCTCTGAGCAGGCAGGGTCCTGCCCCTGGCCTCCCTAGCAGGAATTCTGGTGTTCCCTATTGGAAAACTGAAAAATCCCTGATAAAAAAAAATCCCAAAATCACTCTGTAATATACCCCCAAATCCATGTTCCTCCACAAGTAAAACAAAAGACCACTTTAAAGACAGAAAGAGAGTGAGACAGAGACAGCGATCAGTTGGACAATGTTTTATTGATATATCTACAGTGTTAAAGCAAGTCTCTTATCATAATAATAAAGTGAACTCTAAATACAGGTTTCATGAATTCATGAATACATATTTTGCTGCCCTGCCACAGGGCGATGGCCCCCACACAAGGGGTTGGTTCCCCACACAAGGGCTACGGCCCCCCAACACGGGGTTCAGCCCCTACACAAGGGGTTCAGACCCCCAAAAGGGGGTTCATCCTCCACACAAAGGGTTCAGCTCCCTGAAAAGGGGTTCAGCCCCCCAAAAGAGGTTCAGACTCCCAACAGGGGGTTCAGCACTCTCACACGGTGTACAGCCCCCCAACAGGGGCCAAATGGCCCCTGCAAGGGCTAACATCCCCCCCTGCAAGGCCCCCAAGGCTACCCCCACAACCCCAGGCACCATCACTTAAAAAAAAAAAACAGAAAAAGAACAGAAAAGAACAGAAAAAAATGGAAAAAAAGCCTCTGTTTACCTTAGAAGCAGGGGTGCAGAGCAGGCTGACGGCCCCAGCCTGAGCCCTCCTGCCCCTGCACTGTCCTGTGTTGCCTGGGGGCCTCTGCTGAGGCAGAGTGCTGAACTAAGCATTTAGGAAAATACCTTGTATCTAGTATGTATATGTATTTCACATAAATTGTTTCTGTTCCAACACCCAGAGCACACCACCACACTATATACTTACATGAATAATGATGATAGTTGTTGGATTTGTGTAAAATAAGATCTCCAAACTCTGTACATTTCTGAACTCTCTCTCTTCTGACACTGACCACTTTCTTCAACTGGTTAGTAAAAATAAGCAATTACACAGTTTGCTGAGAGGCAATCCCTGCCATTCCTCCCGAGGCAAGTAATATAGCAGCTAAAAGCAGGAAAGAAATATGCACCATTTTTGGTATTCAGTTGGTGCCCAATGATGTTACCAGAGTTGGCATTTGTTCATCCGTTATTTAGCAAATAGCGCCAATAAAACCACAAAAGACCTGGCACTTTTGTAAAGCACATGAAACAAAAATATCTTGCAATGTTTTTGCCACCATCTGCTATTTTCTTTAGAAGGGTGTGAGTTTCTATAGACTACCCAATAAGATGCAGCTCCTGGAAAACAGCTTGAGCTGGGTTTCTAAATCATTAACTGTAAAAATCATATTTTTATACTGGTTTTCTTTAATTTTTTTACATTCTCAATCTGAAACTTTTCTGTCTCTGTTTTATTCTAATGCCTTTATATACCCCTATCCACATATTGGTACATCAAGCTATTGAGCCAGGGACTTTAATAATATATATTTTTAGCACATGGCTGTGTGATATTTGAAATGAGTGTTAAATTTTCCTGTTTCTTATGCATAGATTTTTAAATCAATGTGTTATTAATAAAATGTGTTTGCTTTTTTGATAGTTCACCACTTTGTATCAGTTTTATTATAAAAATGTCACCCACATTTTCTAGAAAATCTTTAGAGTTTTTGATCTGTATATCTTATTAATATATCAATCATATAAAAAAAATCATTCTAACTCATAATAAGTTACATCACAAAGTCACTTGCTTTCACTCCCTGCATTTAATTAAGTGTCCTTATACTAAATTATTTAATAACACTGGCATATGTTATTTATTTAGGTGGCAATTTTGCTGGAAGAGAATTCTGATTTCTGCAGTAAAAATGTTTGCTTCAAATTGTGTGTATTAATCTATTAGTATCTCAAGTATCCACTTAAAAGATTAATTTTTCACAGTGGTGAATAATCTGGTGCAGCATAAAACACATTTGAACAAAAAGCAACAGTTTGGGTGATACTCTTATATAACATGGGGGTAGTTTCAAAAATGCACTGTAGAACTTTCTAAAACAAGCCTGAGGGTAGATGCAGACATTACATTTGGATTAATATAACTAGGTTTAAGTAAATCTACATGTCCACCTGTGCAGACATTCAAGGTGGTTTTGAATTCGGCCAAAAATAGCCAGCCTGATCTAAATTAGTTCACCTAAGTAGATTAACCTGATCAGAAACAGATTAACCTAATCCAGTGAATGTCTGCACACATTCAGAGGGCAGCTCTGGGGCTGGGAAAGTCCAGCCATTTGCCCCAGTTTTGGGACTGCACCCTTCCTACCCCACTGACCTGATTGATCCCTGGACCTACCAGCCTGCTTCCCCAACAGCTCCTGCCTGCCCCTCCCCCACCCCAAGTTACTTATATCAGCTTCTCCACGAAGCTCCCTGCACCAGTGAATGTCTGTACAAGCCGTATGATCGTAGACTGGGTGCGGTGAACTTTCATAACACAAACCCTGAATGTTTATGTTTCTATGTTTAGACAATAAAGTGTAAAGACTATGAAAGAATTGTTATACCTTGCCAGAAGTTAGATAGTTTTCATATGTGCATTAGAGAATGTGGCCTGTTTAAATAATTGTGCTTTAAAATATTCAACCTCAAAAATCCATTAAGAAAAAGGCCACATTATTAATTAAGATCAAATTCTACTGTGAAATATAAATATATGTTTTCAGACAGCACTGTATACTATCATCAGTACTCTCATTGCTGTAAGTATTGTGCTCAATAGCAGTGGTTTGTAGAATTGAGTCCTCTTTTTCTCATAAAAAAATCAGTCCAAGCTGTTGAAACAATTATTGCACCACAGAAGCATCCTATGTTCTGAGAGAATCTTTTAAGAGATGGTAGTTAGGAAAGCAAACAAAGGCAGTTTCACATGGTTATGGTAAGCCATAGAACTGGCAGAGATATTAACAGCTCTGCATGATGCATTCATCCGTCTTACATGCTCCAAATCCATCACTCCACATGGCAGAATTCACATTTTTATTGAATTTACACTTCTTAAGGGAAAGATGCATTTTACATATTTAATAGATTTCCAATTTCCAGAACAATAATAAACTTTACACTGGTGTTACTCTCCTGGCAATTCTGCACAGACGACAAAGGTTATTAGTGTATTTTTGTAATGGTCTGTACATACATGTGAATGCAGGTTGCTGAGCAAATGGAAAGAGGTCTAATTAACCAGCTAATTAATTGCAGGGACAACACCTTGCCTTTCTTTGGCACAATAACATTCATGTAATACAGCAATTCAAAGTTTGGTGTAAAGGAAATTTTGAAGGTTTGCCTGTTAAGAGGATGAAGATGAAGGAGCTGATTCTAAGTTTATTTACACCATGATGAATAGGAGTTGCACCAATGTTTAATCAGTTTAAGGAAGTGCTGAATCAGACCTAACAACCCCCTAAAGACTACACTAAGGTCACATCAACACTAAGAGTGATTTACCAGATTAGGAATATGTTATACTGGCAATTATTTCTTCTGTAGACACCAGCAAGCCCGACGTAGTATAGTTAGACCACCCTCAGGAGCAAAACAAGCCATTCCAGTAAATGTACAGATTTTCAGTAACTACAGTATTCTACAATAACTAGATACCTTTGTACTTTCTACCAGCATGTTTATGCCAAAGATCACACCTCCTCAAACCTCTAACCATCATAGATATGCCAGGAGAATTATGCAGCATAGATCTGGACTCTACCAGTAGGCTCTGCCCAGCTTAAGGAATAGTTTGTAGATTCTAGCTCAGAAAACCAAAAATCCCTCACCTCTTTTCCATTTTTTACTCTGGGCATGGGGTGGGGGCCTGGGGCATGGGATTAAGCTACTTTATTCCTGTTTGAGGTGGAAGCTGCAATCCCCTTCTCTTTACCCACTCATCTATAATTGTTGCTGCATACTGTGAGGCAAAGCTAAATTTTCTTCCCTTTCCCAGATCCCTATTTCACAATGGGAAAAAGCAGCCTGGTCTTCCTTGACATGGCTAAACCCAATTCTGATCAGTCCTTGCTGGTTTCATTCCCCAAACACAGGCTAATTAGGACAAAGGATAACACGGCACAGAAAGAATATTGTAATGACAAATATGAATATTGGTCCTGTATTTTCCAAATCTGTTTTTGCCCATTTTCCTTTTTTGCTGGTAAAGAAGTAAACACCTTCTGAAATGAGTGTACTGCCACTCTGCAGCAGCACCCTATGAAAAGTCTGTAAAATAATTTTTCTTGTACCCTCTTTCTTGGAAATTAATTTCTTCTCTTTTGTGTTTCATTTCTTTCAATGTCCCCATATAGATCGGTTCCTGACCTAGACTGAATTAGGGTGTTTGGATCCTGACCCAACTTCCCCACAGTTCAACAGATGTCAGACCTGGTTTCAAAAACATCTTCAGTGCAAATTATATCATAATTCTCTTGAAATTTTTCCTTGTTCACAAATTACCCAGTAGACACCTGGTTAATTTCCTGTATGCAGAATCTGTTGGGTACCCAGTCAGCA